AGCATTTTTCCCCCGGGAAAGCTTTTCTTTCACTTTTTTTCATCCACTTTTTGTTACGTTTTGTTAGTACTGACGGAGGTACAGAATAGAAATTTTTACTAGAAATATTACGCTATATCGTGAGTATATTACACAATATCGTTGATTATGTTTTAACATAAAATTGCAAACTGATTAAAAATGTGTCAAAGAGCCTAACTCGATAAAGCTTGAAATTAAGCGATTTTGTTTTGGCGGTTTATATACTTATCAGATTAAATATTTAACCGCAAAATTTTGGGCAACTAAGAGTTTTGAAAAAATAAGAATACAATCTCCATGGCAGAAATACTTTATCCTTCACTAATGTCACTTTTAGTTTTTGGCATTTTTGTAAAATTTTTAATGAGATACTTAAAGAATTATTTTCCAACTTAAAAGGTGTTTTTATACAACGTACAATTCGCACAATTTCTCATAACTATTAATGAAGTTGAAAGATTTTAAAGGTTTAAATGACCAGCATTAAATTATGAACGAAAAAGAGTGTTTTTGAACACATATGGTCAAACACTCAGGGCAATATGCAATAAGCAGTAAGCTTGTGACATGTATTTAATAATTAGGTTATCATTCCATCATTTGAAATAACTGTACAAAATCTCACATTTCAGAATATATATTCATGGAAATATCGAAATTTTTTAAAACAAACTATTTTTTCTTCCCAATTTCTTACTATAACTGTAGAAATATTCAATAAGATTAGACATTATTTTTGAAAAAATTTTAATCAGTAAGAAATATCATTTTAATATTTGAAACAGATTTTAAAAATTTAGCCTAATGAGCATTTAAAGCCGTATTCCTCTCGCCTGCGCATGAGTAGAAAAAATGTAGAAATAAATTTCTTTCTTCATGATTTTATTCTGAAGTGTATTAAAAATCCAATAAGAATATCTGGAAAATTTAAAAAAAGAAACTTAGCAAATTTCGGAGTAGCTTTTGTAATAAATAATTTCCGAATGGTAAGGGGTCTTCCACAATTTTTTTTTTTTGCACTATTAAGCTGGACTTAGTAAAAATGACAGCAGCGTTATAAAAGACTATTCCCTATTAAAGTTTACTTCATTTTAGTTTTCTTTCCTCATACCATCATATTTTGTTGCCTGGACAATCAATATAGGGTCATCTTTTGATCAGTCAATGTATCTAATGTAGGTCATTTATTGTTTAATTTTGTTTATAATACAAGATGAAATTTGGAAAAAGACCCTTACTATTCAGAACTTTCATTCAAAATTTAGAAAAGCCATTCAGAAAATTGCGAGAAACTTTTTAAATTTTCAAAATATTCGAAACAAATTTTTTTCAGAAGTATCTAAATACGATTCAAAACAAAATGATGAAAACAATTTGAAATGTTTTCAGCACATGCTTGATACAAAAGGATTACTTTAAATTCTTATACATTACGTAATTTTATAATGATATTTTCGTTATCAATTAAAAATGACTCCAAAAATTTTGTTTAATTCATTGAATATTTTGAATGTCGGGATCCAGGAATATTTAAGCTAGGCTTACGAATTTTTACGCAGTTATTACATATGATAATCAAAGTAATTGATAGAATTTACCAGTTAATTGCTAAATATATTGGCTTAGGATGCTAAAAAAAACTCTTTTTCCATTCGTAATTTATTACTGATCCCTCAAAACTCTGAAATCTTTCAACTTTATTGACACATATGAGAAATCGCATGACCTAAACACTTTTAAAGTTATAAAATAATTCTTTAAGTATTTCTTGAGAAATTTAAAAAAAAAAAACAATTACCGGACATTTTGCACATTTTTTTTCTTTTTTTGAACTTTTAAATCATTTTAAGTTTGATAAATATTGACGAGTGAGAATCCATTTGTTAGATACGTGTCATGAAATTCTTACAATAATTAAAAAAAAGTTTCTTCTGTCCGAAACGTGCTAAATTCATAGTATATGTTTTGCTAACATAAGTAGGGACACTTTTTGAATATTTTTTTTTACAATTTTTATCAATCTGAAAATCATTTGAAATTTGTCTTACGTTAGGATCATTTCCTAAAAAGTTGTCCTTTCATGTCCCAGGAATCCTAAAGGCACATTTTTTAAATTTCAAAAACAGAAAAATTTAACCGTTAAATTCCAGTATATATAGTTCAACTGTTCGTAAATAAAATTTATTAATTATACTTAAAAAAAATTATGTGCATCTTATTATCTTCTATTATTATCAATTTTAAAAGCTCTTAGAAAAATTGGAATACTTATAAATCTGTTTCTGGTAGTAGCTGTTGTTTTCTACATAATAATAAATATGTTTTTTAATAGTTGGTGGCGGCAAACGACTTATACTGGTCACTTCTAGTAGTTGATATAACAGCAAAGAAAAGAAGTAATTTTGATTTCAGCTGTAGAGCATTCTGCTGTGAACAGAGCATGGTTTTTAATCACTAGAATAATGTATTTAATTGCATGTCTTTCACTCATTTAGTATAACATTAACAAAAGGGAAAGGAAATTTATTTTTTCATCTGTAATAATTATAAGAATGTGTTTAAATAAATATTTAATATTTTAAAGTGTAACTGAGATTTCTATTATTTTCCATTTCTTCATTTTTAATAACAAAAAAACAATTATATTCCTAGCGATGAGATTTATCGGTGATATGTATAGTGACAACGTGAACCAAACCAATTTATATGCTAGATAAATGTTTAGGTATCATTGGGATCTTCCCTCGTAGGTTCTAGTCCTGTCGACTGCGATAAATTATTTTGAGCCGTGTTGAATTAGGGGATAAAGTGTTTGCTTTCCAGTGAGTTGAGTCGGGTTCAATTCTCAGCGATGCCTGTTCGTTTCAAAAGCCGTACCCGACGTAAAATATCCCCAGTGGAATACGGACCAGGGGTTAGAGTCCCCTTGTCATCAAGCTAGCCATGGGTGGTTTTCGTGGTCTTTTACTCCATGTAACACAAATGCGGGGAAGTTCCCTAAGTCTTCCACAAGGACAAAATTCTCGCAATACTTGATCCAGAAGTATCCTTGTCTTCTGGAATGGGTTAATAATTACAAGATTGCAGAGTTGAACATTGGCAGTCGTAAGCCCAATATTGGATGTGTGGCTCAGCGACAGATATATCTGACTCAACGATATATATATATATATATATATATATATATATATATATATATATAGATAGATAGATATATATATATATATATATATATATATATATATATATATATATATATATATATATATATATATATATATATATATATATAGTAGTANTATATATATATAAAATCTAAAATATGGACGAAAATGGGGAAATAACATTGCTCAGAAGTGTCTAAGCTAAATCTATTTATTTGGAGGGCAATCATTTGTACAAATTCACCCATTATCAACGGGAGTTGTTAGACTTGTTACAACCGAAATCACCACCTCACATAAATAAAAGTATTTATTGTATCTAAAATTTTATCGATTATATGAGTGAATCTATTGAAATTGACATTCTGATTAGAACTAATTATGGATCAAATTATGAAATCAAACACAAAACAGACACAAAAGCATATCAAATCAATTTCTGAACAAAAATCGAAAATTAAAAAGTCAAGGCGAAAAGTTTCCATTTCCACTTATCATTATATAAACTTGCAAAAACTTATCATTATATAAACTGACTAAAATGCAAACTGGTGCGTTTAAAAAACTGATGCAAAACTGCATTTTTATTAAATTCAATACTGGTTGCAATCATATTCAAGGCATTATTATAAGTCTAGATTTAAAAAAAGTCTAAAATTATAGTATAATTACATTAGTATAAGTCTAAAATTTGAAAACCAGATTTCCCCATAATACACATGCTTGGTTTAAATACTGCATGTTTTCTGATAATTTCAAACGACATTTGATAACTAAGGGTGATGAAATCATATAGATCTCCCAAATAAGCATATAGCGCAAAAATAAAAAATAAATCGATGAAAATAAATGAAAAGCATGCCTAAGGTGCTTCAATGTCATGAGATTCTTTTTCACCTGAAATCATCTTAAAAACCAATTAGAAATTACTATAACTAATGTCATAGTTTTTTTACGCAATAAGTACACAATACGGCTCCTTAGACTATCTGAGACAGCTAATATTAAACGGTTTCAATAGTTTTTGTATGTGATAACATCAATCTACTGTTTCTGAAAAAAATATCATTGTCGCTTTATTGATTTGTTAATTTACACTAATATAAATGCAGTTCATAACTTCATAGTAACACAAGTCATCATTAAGTTTCATAAACAGAAAATAATTGTAACTATTAACCAAAGTTATTGGCAAGAAACCAATCATAAATCATCAATCATTAATTAACCTTCAATCTAATTGAAAGTCGATTTCAGTTTCACCACGGAAATTTAAATTTTTGCCCTTTGAATGTTCATTAACTAAATGGCTTCTTGAAATATAGTTGATTTTTTGGTATATGAAATTTTCATTTTTAATAGTAATCAGTTTTAATTTGTTTATCAAGTTTATCCTACTGACATATGTCTTCCAATTTATTTTTCTGCAATTGAATCTATATCTTATAAAACACACAAGTATAAAATTTAAATAAGGAAATTTTATCTGATAGAAAATAACGTTTACTTATAGTTTTTATTTTTTATACTTTATTCTATAGAAATATTACATACTGTAGTTTATTTCTATACTTAAAATTCAGAAATTTTATCTCTCAGCAAATAAAGTTGTCTTGAATTTTTTATTTAAAAGCAACTATCTAGAAGGTCAATGTTAAAAAAACTTTTATCTATGCATAATATCATTTTATGAGTAAATAATTCATGATTGGCTTGCATTTTAACATCACATTTAAGATTAATTTAAAAAAAAATTAAATAGATTTTGTGATATTAAAAACGCATAAATCGGAACATAAAAATGAGGATGATTTATAAAAGGATGCTACTCTTTGCAATTTACGTGGAATACATACTTGGAAAGAACTGTGGTAAGTCTTCAAATATATTTTGTTAATTCATATTTTGAACAATGTTTCTTTTAAAGTCCTTTACTAAGATAATTTTTTTTCCATTGGCTACCCCGTGAATCGCTGTTCTCCTACTTGACAGACATAATATTGAACAAATATTATACATGATTGAATAGTGTTTTAAAAAAAATTATGAACGAGTTTTAAATTAAATATAATGTAAGGTACTGTCCAACTATTATGTGAACTCCTTTCGACTGAAAGTATTAGGTTGTCTGTTGCTATGGAAACGATTAATAATTGAAGAAACGATATATAACCACCAAAATAACTTATTAAAAAACGCTAAGCCTCACATCTTCAAAGTGACTTGCATTTGTAGCTACAGTAACCGCACTTGAGTCTGATGTCTAGAGGAGTTTTCGTGATTGCCAGACAGTAGATGAACTTTAAAGTTTAAATGAGCAATAGGATTCCGGTTCTCAAAATAAGAATATTTAAAATATGAAATCTTGAAAATATAAGTGGAAAACATTTAAAAAATTTAAAACTTTTTAAAAACCATTTTAATGATTATAAAATAAATTATTTTTATTATTAATTTTGCGTTTTGAGGAAAATCTCAGACTTGTCTGTTTTATAATAAATTGAACCACGTCACTGTTTAAAATTCCGTTATTCGCTAACTTTCGTGGTTTCCTATTAGTGTAATGTACAAGTAAAATTCCAGGAATATTATGAGACAATTAAAATAAAGGGGGCGTTCTAGTAAGAATATTAAAATAATAGTATATTATTGAAATGATTCCATTTAAGTTCTGTTATTTGGGTTCTACTGTAACTTTACATATCGATTTGTAAGACTGTAATTTCATTCAAGGCTTTTATGATGCAGCATTTTTGGCAGTAATACTCAAAATTAAACGTTTTTTTATCAACTTTTTCCTTGCTTTTAATTAAAACAAGGTAAAAATATGTTTGGTTATAACTGAAATGAATTAACTCATCAATTTTGATTTTTTTTTTTGGTTAGTATCTTAAACTATTTTTTAAATATAAGCTACGAACATTATTATTCGATGATGTTCTCAGCTGCATTATGAAAAGGCTTGTAGCAATAAACAGCACATCTGCGTCACGCTAATTAAATATTATATTGTTTCAATGATTTATAGAACAAACTCATTTACTCATTAACTCATTAACTCATTTAACTTCATATCTGGAAATTTTGCTATCATTAAAACTATTATTTTTATCACAATCTTTTGGAAATTGTTTTAAATTTACAACTTTGCGTAGGAATATGTTAACCGTGTTTAATATTTATTATTTTTTTAAAACTGAAACGAATAAGCAAAGTTCTTTTTACTCTCATATTTTATGCTAATACAGTAGGAAATAACATATTTATATCTATTTCAGAAGAATCTCTAAATAAATCTTTCAACAATGTTGCGTTGTACAGCACTTTTAGTTTTTGTTGGATTGGCGCTTGTATTGGTAGCCGCAGAAGAAGGTAATGGCATTTTTATCAAATTTTTTTACCAAATTTTAAATTTTAATTAAACTTTAATAGCAGAAAACTGCGGAGACATATTTAGTTAATAATACGGATAATTAGTTTTTTTTATTTGGTATTGTTATTATATCTATACTTTGGCAAATAAATTACTTGTTTTTGAATACAATCTTTCACTAGTATAAATTCCGAAAAACTTTTCAAAATAAATTTACTCGTTTCAAAGTGAAAAAATTTTGATTTTGAGTTTATTTGATAACTTCTATAAACTTCTATGAATCTTTCAATTTTATTTTAATTAATTAGAAGTTTGATTTCATTATTATTTTTAATTAAGATTATTAGAGTATATAGCGATTTATTTAAATGCCTATATTTGGTTTAGGGTCATTATTTTGTAACAAATGATATTTTTTAATATTTGATGGTTATATATTTCTCTAACCTGAATAAAGTAATGATTATGTCTTCAGTTTTAAAAATTTTGATTATTTGTTGGTAATGTTGAGTTTTCAGTTTAGATTATCAATAACGGCCTTGAAACCATAGAAATAACTTTTCAAGGGAACCTAAGTGACACCTTCTTTAACGCTTTATCAGAAAAATTCCCAAATGGAAGGTGTCTAGGCATTCTTTTCTTTTACATCTTCCATAAACGAATTCCAATTCAATTCCAAACTGACAGAGATAATTCCGTTAAATTAAAACAGAACTCGTAGCATCCAGTTCCTCCAGAAAACTTTTGGTGACTAGAGAAAAGCAAGTCTTATACCAAAATGACTTTTAAGCGATAGATTTGATATTCTAATAGATTTTAATGTTTTAAATAGACAATCGAAATCGATAAAAGGCAATCGAAGCCATTCTGAATGGAAAAAAACTAACTTAGTCTCCACTAAGCGAGGGAAAAACCTATGTGCTGCAATGAATACTTGTACAAGAGTTTGTAAATCCTGAGTGCCGTGATGTGTACCTCCTGAGTCGAGGTGACTCAGGGGATAAAGCACTTACTGCACATTGAGGTTTCCCAGGTTCGAATCGCAGTGATGGCTGGTTGATACGAATTCTGCACCCAGCTTGCACGTAAGATATCCTCAGTGGCGTAGGAGGCAAATTCGTCCCTTATACTGATAGTGGACAGATGGGTGTCGCGAACTTCAACATGGTACTCGAGAACAATATCTAACAAAGAGCGTATCAAATATATCATGGTTAGTTTTTGCGTTGTAATGTTTGGAAAGAAGTCAACCACCACAGGCTCTGTCCACGTCACCTGATCGTGCTCAACATTTCGTGGCATTCTTACCATAATCGTTAATATTCAGCATACCAATATTCAGCATACATCAAGACTCATTTTCTGGTGGTCGACTCTCACAGCAAATATTTCAATACTTAGTGCACACCGAAGAGCCATTACATTATGACCACCCTGCTATCAACATGTAGGGCCACCTTTGGCCCTCAAAACTGCTAGCACCCGCCGTGGCATTGATTCCACAAGGTTCTGATTGGTAGTCTGAGGTATATGGTACCAAGCTCTCACCAACTGGTCTTGCAATTCCCTCACATTGCGAGGGGGTAGCGTGGCAGCACGAATTTGGTTTTCCAAGTAGGATCACAAATGCTCTATTGGATTAAGGTCAGGTGAATGTGGGGGCCAAGACATGACTTGAAAGTCACTCGAATTTTCCTCGAACCAATCTATGACGATTCGACCCTTATGACGTGGTGCATTATCCTGTTGGTAAACACCATCCCCTGCAGGAAAAACTGTTGTCATGAATGGGTGAACCTGGTCCGCAACTATGTTCAAGTAGCTTATAGACGACAGGGATTGTTCTATGAGGACTATGGGTCCTAATGTGCTCCTTGAAAACATTGTTCCTGGGCGAGAAACCATGAAAACCTGGGCGAACCCATTGTTATAGATGGAGAGTGGTCATAATGTAATGGCTCTTCGGTGTATAGCCACCGTCAGCTGACTTCTTGATCCGTCAGCTGACAGTAAATATGTATGAGTTTCCTTTGAAGTCAACAGAACTCCTCTCTCCATTCTTCTGGAACACTGTCAAAAACTATGATTATGGGGTTACTATATTTCAAGTAGGTGTCTAGAGTAAACACTTAGATCAGATTTTGATTCGGATTGAATAGCAAAGTACCAATCGGCTACAAGGAGAACTACCCAAGACACCAGACTTACATGTTGGTTGATACTATGGTAGTACTCTGGGAAATTCACTTTAAATAGTAGCACGAGATTTCCTTTCGCAAACCGTTTGAAAACTAGAAGTATTCAAACCTACCATTTTGAAAATGCCCATCTTTTGTTTCCTTAGCGCCATGCACCCCCCCCCCNCTGTGCCCCCCCCCCCCAGACTAAGTAGTGAGAGGAGTCATTTGATTCAGCAGATCATCCCCTTGCGCACTTCGGTCCTTATTTTAGTTAATATCAATGGGAATGGCTTAATCAGCATCTAGATTTGAAAAGTCTTGAATAGTTCAATAGCATGCTCTTTTTTTCTTTTTTTTGTTAATATCATTGGGAATGACTTAATTAGCATCAAAATTTGAAAAGTCTTGAAAAGTTCAATAGCTTGCTCTTTTCTTCTCTTTTTTGTTAATATCAATGGGAATGACTTAATTAGCATCAAAATTTGAAAAGTCTTGGAAAAGTTCAATAGCTTGCTCTTTTTTTCTTTTTTTTTTGTTAATATCAATAGGAATGACTTAATTAGCATCTAAATTTGAAAAGTCTTGGAAAAGTTCAATAGGAATGACTCTTTTTCTCTTCTTTTCTTTTTTTTTGTTAATATCAATAGGAATGACTTAATTAGCATCTAAATTTGAAAATTCTTGAATAGCTCAATAGCATGCTCTTTTGTTCTTTTTTTTGTTAATATCAATGGGAATGACTTAATTTGCATCAAAATTTGAAAAGTCTTGAAACGTTCAATAGCTTGCTCTTTTTTTCTTTATTTTTGTTAATATCAATGGAAATGACTTAATTAGCATCTTAATTTGAAGCTTAATTTGAAAATTCTTACAACTATGGTCCTATGGTTACAATTTATTTAAGAAATTATCCTTTTATTGTTAATTTTTAATCAGTGATACAGCTCGCTATTAGTAATAAAATTTTTTTATTTTTTTTTAAATTCACCAAAGTATTAATAAGAATCTTTGTTTTAATGTTTCTACCACACAAACGATAAAAACTGAATATGTAACTTTTCCGTTACTTATTATGTAATTTAAACGAAGTTAAATTCCTAGAAATAATTTTACTTATTTTTCCACTGCCGAAGTAACCAGAACACGACTTTTAATGCTGAAATTTAATATATTAATAAATGTTAATGATTAGATATTTTTTCTAAGGTCAGTATAGCACCCTCTGGATCGCCAGAGTTAAGAAGTTCAATTAGATTAAATCTTGGTAATCAGCAAGTCTGTATGGTGCCAATCAAGTTCAGACTCGATTATTCACATTTATTATCTAACTAATAGGTAGATATATTTCTTGTAATAAATAAATAGATAAATATATGCATAAAAATACAAGGACATTTTGCAGTAAAATTAGAGTATAAGCAATTTAATAGTTTGTTAGAATTAAACGGCATTGTTATTTATATTCGTTTTTGTTTAAAAAAAAACCTGTTTTATTATTATTATTTTAGAGACTTGTGAGTATGCAGGAAAAACATACAAAAAGGGTGAATCATTTCCACTGGAAAGAGAGGATGGATGTGGAATAAGTACTTGCGTAGGAAATGGTGCAAGAGCTGGCAAAGGGTAAGCTTAAAATAATAATTTTTAATAACTGAAATAATTCATTAAATATGATGCGGTTATAATTAACAAATTATTTATTATAATTCCCCTAAAATAATAAATTTTTATTTATAATTTTTAAAAGCTAGTTATAAGTTAAACTATAATAATAATTAATTATAAAATGAAGGAATTATGAATAATTTTTTAATTGATTTTAACTAGTAAATGCTTATTAAAATTTTTTAAACTGATTTCATAGTGAAATCTAATTATTATCTTTTATTAGCTTTCATTGTAAAATCTAAGTTATTATTTATTATGTTTTATACCAGTTAATAATTTATTATAACACTTTCTGCTTTATCATTTGGTTATTATGATTTTTACTCATTAAAATAATAATTATTATTATGAATAAATAGCTTACAATTTTTGCAAAGTATATATAATTTTATTACTTTAATAATTAATTAATAAATTTTAATAGCTAATCAGTACAAATTATAAGTTTTCAACAATTAATTAATTATAAATTTTAAATAAATTAAAATCGATAGTTCAAAGGAAATAATTCATAAGTTTTCAGTAAATGGGTGGGAGATCAGTAAGTAGCATATATGGCAACGTTACTTTTAAAAAGTAACGAGTAAAAGTACAAGTATTTTTAAAAAAAGTAACGAGTAAAAAGCAAAAAGTTCATATTTTAAAAAGTAACGTACAAGTAAAAGTACAAGTACTAAGCAAGAAAAGTAACGATTTAAAGTACATTTCTAGGAAATCGAAAATTCAAAGTAACCTAAAATTTTATTGAATAATATTCTTATGCTCTTTAAAGTTTTTGCCAAATTGTTGTCATTTATTTAATTATTTTTAATTTTGAATGTTATGGATTTAAATTTGTTTTTAAATTCGAAGGAATATTATAATATAATTTTATAATATAATCGTATAATATAATTTTAAAATCAAATATAGTTTTAATTTCAAACTTTTTATGGATTTGCACGAAAAAGAAATTTTATCTATTGATTTTAATTTTTAGTTTATTATTTTTATTTATTTAAATTACCATTGATTTAAAATTGTTTTACTCTTTAGAAACGCGTTTTAAAAGCACAAACATAAACAAAGCAAACACGGGGTTTCAGATAGCTTTGTGATCTTTGAGCTAGTAAAAAATAATTGAATGTGCAGTATAAGTTGAAACAGAAGGTATTTAAACACGAAGTTAGCTGTGAATGCATGTATATTGCACATTAATTTTATTAATTAAAAAAAAACATGAGCATTTTTTTCCAATTAAAAATTTTTTTTTTAGAAAGCTTACCGAGTATTAGAAAAAAAGTAACGATTTCGTTCGATATTTCCGTTACAAATACTTGTACTTTTTCCCTAAAAAAGTAACGAAAGTACAAGTAAAAGTACGTACTTTTTACTTGTTCTGGCGGTACAAGTAACGAAAGTAAAAGTACTGCCATATATGGTAAGTAGTAAGTAAAAATCAGTAATTTTACAACATTTTGTTAAAGAGTTTTTAGACCAGATTTTCAAATTATTGAAAGGAAGTTGGGTTTTACATTTCTGCGAAAACATTATTTGCTAAAAAAAAAAGGCATCAGCTATAATATTATTTAAATTTGTAATTCAGGTTACGATCTCTATTGTCTAAACAGCGTTTTTTAAAGGCACAATAGTAATGTAGTCAGCGTGAATGGATAAAATTACATTAATAAAAATTAAATGAATACGAAATAAAAATATTCTTGCAACAGCCCATTTTGAGCCAGGGAGATCACAGAGTTTAAGATTCTAAAATTAGTGAGAAGTGACATGATTTCAGGCAATGCCGTCAGCATGCCGCATTTACTTCTCACACAAGCTAACACCCTTCGATTTAAAGCAGTGTGGGATTCAGGTCACTTCTGAGAATAGTTATTCATATTATTCTTCCCCAGTTATTCAAAATGACAACTTAGTGCCTTAACCTAGGAGTCAACAAAAATTGTCTCCTTCAGGTTTTGATTTTCAGAAAGTATCAGAGCATTTTAAATCATGTTTAAAAAATGAAAACATTGCCCTGGCTTACGAGAAAAAAATCAAATAAATATAATTTAAAAATGAATAATAAATAAAATTATGAGAAATAAAATTTTAATAAAAAAAATAAAAATAAAAATCATATTTCAAAAGTTTATTTTCTCACCTTTTGTTTTGTTTGAGAAATAGTGAGGGTGTAAAAAATCATAATTATAAAACCAGATAAAGTGACTACTGTTTAAGACATAAAGTAATAATATAAATTTAATTAAAAATTTAAAGTAGAAATAAAACTAATAATGAATTATAATAAATAAATAAATACTCTACTGAAAAAGATAATTTTTCTCTTTTTTTTTTGTAAGAATAGTAAGGGCATTAAAAATTAGGGTATAAAAAAAAGGTGGAAGCCATTTCAGTTATTATTGTAAAATAATCAAATAAATAAAATTGAAAATCAAAATAAGAAATAATAAAATAATGCAAATAAATATAATTAAATAAAAATTATAATTAATTAAAATAAAAATTATAATTTATTAAAATTATATAAAATTAATTATAATAGAATAATAAACTAAAATTAATATCTTATTTCAAAAGATAAGTGTCTCATCCATTCTTGGATTCATGAAATGGTGTGAGGGCGTAAAAAATATATTTAAAAAAGTTTCTAGAGAAAGTATTGAGAAAGATTCTAGAAAAAGTTTCTACAGAAAGCAAAAATGAGAGAAAGTAATCTGGCTTTGCTCAATTTATGTCTTAAACAATTTTTCTTAAACTTTCTTCAATTTTTTCGAAAAGATTAATTTTGATATTTTCTCAGTTATTAAAGATTTTTTTTTCATTTATTTTCAGGTGTGGAACATTTCAACTTCGCCCTGAATCTAAATGCAGGAAAGTACGAGGAAACGGAAAATATCCTGATTGCTGTGAGCGAGCCGTCTGCCCTGGAGATCCAGATTACTAAAAACTCTACATTAACATGTATATTGTTTAATTCGCAAACGTATTAAAATGTTATAAGTTTTCAAGCATAAGCACGCAGTACAATCAAATTACAATTCTATACTTGTCTCGTTTGCTTTAAACAATTAACGTTACGTTAATGATATGTAAATGAAAAAATTGGAAATTCTTTGATATTAGCCATTTATGTAGCATAATAAATATGCTGTATATGCTTAAAATTAAAGCGAGATTAATAAAATAAATTTGATATGCATTATTTTGTGTTGTATTTATTGAAGGAATATTTAAAATGCAAAGTACAGATTATATTTTATTTTATTGTCGAAGTTAAGCAGCTTTTTCCTTTCGTTTCCTTCTTGAAATTCTAAATCATAACTCCAGGAACAAGAATTGGGATAAATATAGACGCAATACATTTTATGAAGCTACCAAATTGCAATATCAATATTCCGTTTCAAATAGAAGATTATATCACATATTCCTAGTAATTAATTAAATTGCTTATAGATTTTTCCAATACTTACTTATAATTCTTAAACTTTTTCAGATATGTTATATTAAACAACAACACAATAACGCAAAATTATAAACGAATTAGGGACCGCACGACGGTACTTTATAGAGTGCGATACCGGCTTATTAGCATGATATACCGGCTAAACAACCAGATAACCATGGTCTCGTGGTATTGTTAGAAGCCACCAATTTCCTAATGCCAAGAGATCCTTTTTGTTACCCTGGGTATACTAATCTAGTATGTGTGAATAAGAATAGATATTGTATATTTAAAACACTATTTTAAGAGTATGTTCTTAATGATATGTATTTGTTCATACATCTAACATTATATTTAACGATTCGTTTGAATAAAATTGAACAGGTTTTTTTGTTACAAAAAACGAACATAAAAACTAAACATAAAAATTGAGGGCTTTTTATAAAAACATGGTATTTTTTCTTTTTGGGTACTTCTAAAAGGATAATTTGAAGAAAAGTTTAGTAAGTTTTATAATGCCTTTTCCCATCTTTTGTTTATTTATTTTTTTTAAAGTAGATTTATTTTAATTTCATGTATAGAAATCAGCTTTTTACTCTATTTTAGATTTGTCTGAAGTTTAAATCACGAACATAAGTGGATTAGGTCTTAAAGTTTAATTGATGTTTTAATATTTGCTTAATTATGTTTATTTCCCTCTTCTGGTATTCGTTCCTGTTTCCGGAAAATGCGGTAAGACCTGCTATTTAAGATTTGAAGACCTGTGGGAGATAAGCTGTTCGACGCAGAAACTGCTAGATTTAATCAATATATTCATTCTTTAGTTGCTTACAACAAATTTTTCTTGAGCCACGATGACTCAGGGGTTAGAGCGTTCATCTTCAAATAACGTGAACCGGGTTCGAATCCCTAGCGATGGCTGCTCGAAACGAATCCGCATCCGGTTTGCACCGACCACAGTGGTAGACGGATCATGGGTTAGAGTCCTTTTGCCGTCAGGCTAACCATGGGAGGTTCTCACGGTCTTCCTCTCTATATAGCGCAAATGCGAGTTAGATCCTTTAAAAAGTGTCCTCCACGAAGGCAAATTTCTCCCAACACTTGATCTAGGTGTTTCTTTGTCTTTTGGATTAGGTTCAAAATTTCAGGGCTACAAAGTTGAATATTTATAATCATAAAACCAAAAAATTGTTCAATGGCAGTTATAAAATGAAATATATATTAGTCTTCAAAATTTCATTAATGTAGTACTTTCTTATAAATGCTTTTCTTTTTCAAGAAAAAAGTAGAGTCACCCGCCCATTTGCATATGTTTACTTTATCAATTATTTAGAAAGACTAGAACTTCAGTGAAAAAGTAGCAGCTTATTTAATTTTATTAGACAATTTAGGAATATTATGTGCGAAATTCACATACGAAGAAATTATCTTCGCCCTCCACTGAACTAAACTTCCGTGGGCTCTAGAAAAAATACTTTGTGTATTGAATCAATCTTTCTTTTTTTTTTGTTTAGTTAGAAAATACATCACTGCAATATAAACAATCCTCATCTGATGCATTTTTATCATCTCCATTGGAATGAATCAAGGGTTTAGGTTTATTTATTTATTTAAAACTTTTTTGTTAATAAAACTGTTTTGTTATGTAAGTTGTTCATACACTTGTCTTTTCTCTTTTTGGTCATTTTGCTTTGAAGTTTTCCATTTTTTTAATTATTTTTTTATTCACTTTAAGAATTTTTCTCTACCTCGATAGTAATTTTTTTTAAATGTTATTTTTTCTTTTTTTAATCCTGAGAATCACCTTTATATGGTGATGGTAGTACGGTAATCACCTTTATAGGGTGATTGTCTTACCACAAAAGCAGAAGCCTTCGAAACGAAACAGAACAATGCTAATTCTGGTCTAAATCCTTTTTTGTTTGCTAGAGTTTGAATCCGTAGTAAGTTATAATAATCTGAGTTAAAATATTTTTTTATAGCTGTAATGATCAATAAATAATTATAGTATAAAAACAAAGGAACATTCAAGAGCTAGCACATGCATAAAATTCGACTACATCCATCTGTTTTGGACCTATTTTGACACATTTTTTCTGCATTTTGAGAAATTACTTTTTACAGTGTAATATTTATAAATATTAAAAATATTACTTTATATTAAAAATATTACTAATATGTACTTTTCTATCTGCAACTAATTAAACTTGATACTAATAACTTTTTTTATTTGAAATTATAAATTTCTTTCCCACTTTCCGAAAACATTCTAATAAATTCAAATTTAACATTGTTTTTCTTTTTTCCCCTTCAAATGAAGTAAATAAACATCAAGTCCTCATTGTTACTCAAATCCGATGCTCAAAAGCAATTGTATTGAATTGTATGAAAAAAACATATTTGTATCTATTTCAGAAATATCTTTATTATTAATTAAATTGATGCATAATTAAATCGATCAACTTCATAATTAAACTTCATAATTAATTCAGAATAACAACAACTTCATAATTAAATCGATCAACAATGCTCCGTTGTACCACAGTTTTAGTTTTTGTTGGATTGGCCCTTGTTTTGGTAACTGCAGAAGAAGGTAATAATTTTTTTATGAATTTACATTTGTGTAAATGTTTACTCTTGTGTGCATTCCAAATAAGTTTTATTCGTAGAAAAATCTGGGCATATGTTTAAATAGATAAATATTGTTTCGTAAGTTTTGTAATTCGTTCTATACTTCCGCATGGCTTTCTTTTTTTTAAAAAAATAATTTGTACCCAAAGCAAATTTAAATAATTTTTCAAATCAAATTTAACCATCCTGAATAGAAAAAAAAACCTTGATTCTACTTTATTTGATAGCTTATGATCTTATTTAAGAATCTTATAAGAGTCCTTTTTAATTAATTAAGATTTAATTTCATTATTATTTTTTTTTATTTAAAAAAAATTAGATTTACTATTGATTCATTCAAATGACCGTTTTTGTTTAACGCCTGCTAATTTGGTACATAAAGTTATTATTATTTTTTTAATATTCAATAGATAATTTTCAAAAATAATGATTAAATGTTCTATTCATGGGATTATCTGTAAATAGTTTCTGTTTTAAATTTATATTTCGACTAACGGAGTTAAAATCATAAAAAAAAAATATATATCCCGAAAACTTAACTGTCTCCGTCACCGACGTTTGCTCTTCAAAATTAATAAACCTGAAAAATTTAAAGTAAAGCAAGATTTCAATCGGAACCTTGAGGGCAATAGAAAAAGAGGAAGGCCTATCTACTTGGCGCAGGACTATTGTAGACCAATTGAAAACAATAGGAAAGTCAAAGAAAGAGGCAAAATATCTGAGTGAGATGGAAAGCTTTGAAAGAAGCCCTATGCTAGTGAAAAAGAACATGTATGCATAAATAAATAAATTAATACATAACAAAAACACATTGCACAGTTAAATTAACGCCTACAAGTCTAAATATTTTAATAGTTGACTTGAAGTAATACTTTATTTTTTTTCCAAGGAAAAACTTCTTTTTGACATAATTTCAGAAACACGTGAGTATGGAGGAAAAACTTACAAGAAGCAGGAAAAATTTCCAATGGAAGAAAAGGATGGATGTGGACTTAGTACTTGCGTAGGAAAAGATGCAATAATTTCAGTTGGGTAAGTTTAAAATTATCTTTTTAATAAACTTCAAATATTTACAAATTATAATTTAGAAAAATTAAGTAATCATTTCATATGATTTTTCCGAACTAATGAGGCATTAATTATAATTAGCAGAAATTATTTCATTGATTTTTTCCATTGTAAAAATTATTTAGTAACTTTCTATAATTTGCCCTAAGTACTTATTATAAACGTTCCGACTTCTTCAATTATCAATTATATTATTTAATCCCTAAATAATTAAATATAATTTTCCTGAACTGAATTATTAGTTATAATTTTATTGAATTGCTACAATAATAAATTTCAAGAAATTCTTAATTAGTAGCTGAACGTTTTATTAATTTGGTAAACATTAATTTTTAGTTATAAATTCTTAATATTTGAATTAAGTTTTAAAAATTCCTTTTAAATAAATGATTTATTAGTTTTTAATCTGTGAAAAAGCTCTTTGGTAAGTAGTGCTTGTTTTGAAAAGCAGTAATTTTAAGACTACGCTTAAAGTATTTTTAATAAAATTTTTAATTTTTCTTTGTACATAAAAAAGGAAGTTGGACTTTATATTTCTGTGAAGCAGTACCTGTCAAAATGAAGTAATAATTTTATTAATTTGCTATTTAAATAATTTAGTTTGTTATTCATGTAATGATTTTTAATGCCGAAATTCTGTTTTCGATAGACACTGTAACATTTCTGTGTGAATGTATGAAACTATGTAAATGAAAATTAAAGGAATAGAAAAAAATAACGTTCTCTTAATAGCATATTGTGTTCACTCAGACTCAATAAGTTGGTACTCAATAATCTGAAAGTGTAGGACTGGGAATCGAATTCCAGTCCTTCACATAGGCAGCTCAATTCATTAACCATTAAAAATCTAGAGTTAGCGATATAAATAAATTAAAATCAAGTAATTAAACAAAAATTCTTCTTAAAAACATTATTGTCTTATCCATTGTCAGATTTCAGAAACGATGAAAGCATTAAAAATGTCATATTATGAAGCACTGGAAAAGTTATTCCAATTTAGGGGACAGAAAAATGAATGAATATGCAGTAAAATATTATGTATAATAAATAAAATTAGAATTAAAAATCATAGTAAAAAAATTATAATAAAAAGTTATATGTATCAATACAAATATTTCATAAGATGAAAATATTTTGGTTTAAATAAATACTATTTTTATGCTTTCGGAGAGATTTATTTCGGATATTATTTATCTAATAATCGAATATTTTTTTTTAGCTGTGGAGAATTTCAACTTTCTCCTGAATCCAAATGCAGGACAGTAGAAGGACACGGAAAATATCCTGATTGCTGTGATCGACCCGTCTGTCCCGGTGACCCTGATTTCTAAAAGAAATAACAAAAAATTTTTGAATTATTGAAAAAGAAAATTAAATTTGGCACGATATGAGTTATTTATGTATTTCAATAAATATTGTTTTTGGCACTTAAGATAAATATATGAAGGTTTATATTGTGTTGTATTTATTTAAAGAGTATGAAAAATATCAAGTATATACTTTGCTGCATTTATTGCCGGCGTAGAATAGCTGAATTTGTTTTTCATTGACCTTGGTCTCTAATTTTGAACTTGAGAGACATGGAAATTCTCAGGTTAGCATTACAAAAATGAGAGACATTTTAACAGAGCTGAACCACATTTGCGTTTGAAGAAAATCCCTGAAACCTCCAACGGTTAGACCGATGACAAGGAGATTCCAACCCATTTGATGGGTACAGTTGGGAATATTTTTAGTATGGTTGATGCAAATCGGGAGAAGTGCGTGAATTGACCAGTCATCGAGAGTTAAACCTGGTCTACTCATTAGAAGGCATGTGCTTTATCCTCTAAACCCTCGCAAGTTTCAAAGTTTAGATTCATGAGATAGTAGATTTATGAGATTATATACATGGGATATAGATTCGTGAGTGTTCCGTAATGATTGCTCTTAGTATATAATTTAGAATACTTGACAAAAATGAAGTCATTAAGAATGGGCATTTTAGTACTTCAGTGTGAAAAGCATAAAACTCCATCAAAATAAAAAAAATCCCTACAGGCGGGACAAGTGTTCTTTTTAGTGTTTATATTTTAAGTTGAATAATTTCAATTGTTTTATCCCAAGAAACAGCAATTATTCGGAAGCAATCATAGGGGGTAGAGAACGTCAGTGAACAGGGGGCTTAGGGCCCTAGTATGGAATAATATTTGTGGATAATATATGTATATCTGGAAAACAGCAAATCTCCTAAGAAAAATTTTGATATTAAGAAACTAATTATAAAAGGAATATTGCACTATAATGAAGACCCTTCTGTCGCCTCTAATTTGCCTTTAATTTTGAGACTTGGTGTGGTTATGGATGTTGAAATATTGTATATGACTTAGATTCAAATTTTCGGAATTGTGGAAATAAAGGATATAATGTATATCTGTGGCGCAACTACCACTACAATTATTAAACATAAATTCACTAATATATATGACATTCTAACTCGATTCAATTTTGGGGTACCTTTTCATAGACGATGGTTGACATTGTAGCTTCCTACTCTCCCCACATTTGTGACCCGGACGTGATATGAACACGCCTACTTCGATGGATGGTTCACATTGAAATGTTGACTTGCTATTTGCGGCAGCGTCCTTCTCGCGCTGTTGCTTCTCAGTCTCATGTACACACAACGGAACCACGCACACACTCGACTACTAATAGCAGCGCAGGATAGACCAGACACCAATCGTGAACTTAATATAGCTCACATGACAAATACTCTAAACTCGGTGAGCTTAACGCAGCTCTCCCGATCTTTCACCAATACGGCAACTAATGGTATACATTCATCGAATTATATCCCTGATAAAATTCTGGTGGAGCAGTATTGTGGTGTAATTACCACTAAAATTATTAGACATCAATTCACTAGTATATAAGACATTCTAACTCGATTTAATCCTAGGGTACTTTTTTGAAAGATGAAGGCTGACATTGTCGATTAATATACTCTCCTCACATATCTTAGACACAGTGATTTACCAAAGAAAAATTTTATGATAGAACACTGACAAGAAAAGAACAAAGAAAACCCCCTCGATAGATCAACCACTTATCTAAATTGACCACTTAAACATTGTTTTGCTACTGCTCAACTTATACAGTTTTCATTGCACTTTGTAATTTCTCGGATAGGAAAACCTTTGGATCGTATCCCCAGTGTCCATTTTTAGGCTTTTGGACTGGTCAAATGTGCTATTCATCAACATTTGTTTCGCTTTCATTAAATTAACTTTGTATTAAAACATTACTTACTCGTTAAAGTTTTATTATTTTGAAATTATTGATTTTCACGTATTTTATGATGCAAAAGAAATCTACTTTTTGCGTAGAATTTATACCACAAATTCAAACTTGAAAGAATAATCTAAATTTTGAAGAAACCAGAAATATACGTTTAGAAAACATTGAACGTTTTTGTGAAATCGAAAATTCAACAAATTCTTCTAAAGACTAGCACATTTTAAATCAAATTACTTCTTGTTATTTAGCACTATGTTTTTAAAAAACTAACCATATAAAGTAGAAAAATCCTTTCTTTTTTTAAGGAAAACTTTTAACACCGATAAAACTCAGAGAAGCTAAATAATGAGACGATCTTAAATTTCTTGAATAGAAATTCTTTGCAGTGTATAACTGAGGATTAATATCAAAAAGAAAACTTATTGAATTGAAAGAAATATAAGAGAATATTAAAAAAAACATTCAAGCTATTTCTTCATTTTTGTAATGATAAAAAAAACTATTCTATTCCCAGCGATATAATTTATCGGTGAAGTGATTGGTGACAATATGAACCAAGCTCAATTCTATGTTAGATAAATGTTCAGGTGCCATTGGGATATTAACGCGTTGGTTCTAGTCCTGCCGACTGCGATAAATTATTTTGAGCCGTGGTGGCTTGCTTAGAGGATAGGGCGTTCGCTTTCCAATGAGGTGAACCGGGCTCTAATCCCAGCGAAGGCTGAATACGAATTCCGCATCCGGCTTACACCGACTGCAGTGCTGACGAAAAAAATCCTCAGTGGTGGACGAATTATGGGCCAGTGTCCCTCTGCCATTAGGCTGATTGTAAGAGGATTTCGGGGTTTTCCTCTCTATGTAACGCAAATACGGATAAATAATATCAAAAAATCCTCAACCGAGTCCTCATTTTTCTCCCAATATTTGATCCATGAGTTACCTTGTCTTCTGGATTGGGTTCAAAATGACAAGGCTACGGATTTGACTATTAGTATTCGTAAACCCAAAATTAGGTCGGCTGCTCAACGACTGCTATAAAATATAAAATAAAATAAAATGTATAGATTGACAATCTTTATCCATACGCGTTAGTATTTTATATAAAAAGATAGATAGGTGGATATAAAGTTAATAAAATGAGAAATTGTTTATGCACTTTTTATTCACTGTTAAACATGATGCTTGTGTTTAAAAAAAATGTGAAGCCTTTTTAAAAGTCTGGATCTCCTGGACAGACCTTTCGTGGACAGCATTCGGGATATCTTCCTTCTTTTTCGATAATCTTGCAAGGGGAATCAGCCGGCAATCGGAATACTCCACAGCTAGAAAAATAAAATTAAGCAGTACATCAGTAAAGAAAAAAGGAATTGCCATTGTATTTAAACTCTATTAGAGACAAAAGAGAGTAATAATAGCGCTGCTCATGTGTTATCTTCGTCATCTGACCGGAGTCAAAATAACATGATTTTAAAAGATGGATTCCTGAAAAACGGGAATTGGTGATTGGGGGTTGTATGTGGTCATCTTTATGAAGCAGATTTAATTTTAAGTCATTACGCTTCAAGTATAATTAAAAACATTTTAATGGCTTATACACCAAAAAGCTATTATATTATGACCACCCTGCTAATAACATGTAGGACCACCTTTAGCCCTCAAAACTGCTAGCACCCGCCGTGGCATTGATTCCACTAGGTGTTGATAGTAGTCTGAGGTATTTGGTACCAAGCGCTCACCAACTGGCCCGGCGATTCCCTCACATTGCGAGGGGGTAGCGTGGAAGATCGAATTTGGTTTTACAAGTAGGACCACAAATGCTCTATTGCATTAAGGTCGGGTGAATTTGGGGGCCAAGACATGGCTTGAAAGTCACTGGAATGTTCCTCGAACCAATCCATGACGATTCAACCCTTATGACATGGTGCATTATCCTGTTGGTAAACACCATCCATAGCAGGAAAAACTGCTGCCATGAATGGGTGAACCTGGTCTGCAACTATGTTCAAGTAGCTTACAGATGTCACGGATTGTTCTATGAGGATTATGGGTCCTAATGTGCCCCATGAAAACATTGTTCCTGGGCGAGAAACCATGAAGCCTGGGCGAGCCCATTGTTGCAGATGGAGGGAGGTCATAAGGTATATATATATATATATATATATATTAAAACATATTTCAAGGAATTTACCAAATTTTTATAACTTATAACCAGTGCGCAAGATTTCATAATATCTCTTTTTTCCGTCAAATTTTGGCTCTAAAGAAAATTTAATTATAAAAGTTGTTTGAAAAATGTTACACAATTGTTTGCGTATAAGAAATATCTGTGCTTACAGTAAACTATTTTAAGGAAATTTAGAACCCTAAACTAAATTTTATTTTAGTTATGCAAAATCAGAAAAAAAGTTTTGCATAGATAGTTTCTTGATAAAATAGAAACCACCTAGGCTCCTTAAGATAATTTTAAGCAGTTTGAATACTTACTCAGTAGCGTAGGTAAGGCCTCCAGCCTGGCATGTTTTTATTAAACATCCCTTATCACTGGGGAATTTTTCTCCTACTTTATATGTTTTCCCCCCTACTGTACATGTATCTGAAAAAAAGAAAAATAAGTTCATAATAATATGAAATAGTGAGAAAAGCATTTGCAACCATGATTGAGCTCAACAACTATTAAGAATTTTTTCTAGTAAATAAAGAACAATAGAGTTCTAAATAATCCACTATACTGAGATGTGCATCTGTAAATAATATCGATGATTAACCTATTTTATTATTAAAAATCAACTGTAATTGAATCTAGATAATATTCTACTCAAAAATAAAAACTGATGGAAGCAATTTATCTAAAATCTATTGATAAGTCATTTTTTTATCCTGATAATGCACTTCTGAAATCTGACGTAAAATATTTTTTTCCATCTATTGCTTATTTTTTAACCTGAAAATGGAAGCTTAGGATATATATATATATATATATATAGGGTGGTCCCGAATTCATGGTACAAACTTTAATGGTAGGTACAGGACATTGTAACAATGATTTATTGTATAGGAATGTATAGTCGCAAGTGACGCGGTGAGGCGTAAACAGGGGAAAGAAAAGGAAAGAGAAATGGAGTGATCGGTTGGTATCATTGCCGGTAGAGGGCAGTAGTGTGCAGTTTGGTGCTCGATGGATTGGGCGTGGTGAACCAATCCCTTGGCCACCCCGATCTCCCGATTTATCGAGCCTCGATTACTTTTTATGGGGACATCTAAAGCATCTTGTTTATGAGACTCCAGTTGACTCAGATGAGGATCTCGTCGCTCGCATATCTGTAGCTGCTGCAGGTGTGCGTGAAATACCAGGCATCTTTGAACGTGTACGCCAATCGCTCCACCGACGCTGTCAAGCATGTATCGCTTCTGGTGGACACAAATTTGCACACTTACTGTAAACATGACACTTGTCAACAACGCTTTCGATAAAATCTTTGTTTTTCCTTTCGGCCGTTATTTCT